GTCTAAATTCAATGATGTCATTATAAATCAAATTCAATAAAAAAGCTTAAAAATGTTTTAAACTCTCTTGAATTTGAATAAAATCAAACTTTAGATATACAGTCCATAAGTATTGAAAATATCATAAAAAGAAGATAAAAGAGCTGTTATTGCAGATAAAAGGAGGCTATAATAGATCAAATAGAAGAAAATCTAGCTCTGTGAACAAAATTATTCTGTGAGAAAATAAAGTAGAAGAAAGAAGGAAAAAGCGGTAATTTAATCTAATTAAAAAAAATGGATAAGCTACCGAATGGAATATTATAGCCTTTCTCATAATAACTCCTTAAATGATGATGATAGCACTCTCTGAAACTGTACACCTAAATACCACAAAATCCGTGGTTTTAAGGCGATAAATCTGTCATACGATAGCAATTTTGGAAACGCTGATCCATATATAGTTTTACATAAATTATGTAAAATTATTTGAAGTCTCCTCATCTAGATTGGTGGTACAGAAGTATTATTGTAAGAATCTCTGATTTTCGGCGTCCTGGTTGGCTTTTTGCCGTTTGGCAGGAGCTTTTCTGCAAAATTTTTGTCAGCTGCTTTACAAAAATCGTCGACAAAGCAAAATAATTCTGTTATATTTTTATTCATGGGTAATCTCTCTATTTTAATAGTATGTTTTTGGCTTTTTCACCTCTTTCTAATCCGCAACTAGGGTTTATAGCTTCGTTATGGCCTACAATTACGCTAAAAGACTAAAAACTCTTAAGGGTCTTACCCCTTTTGAATTTGTATGTTCTCAGTGGACAAAATTTCCTGATTGATTTATCTTAATCCTTACTATCATACTCTGGGACCTTACATCTGCATGATTAGATCACATGAAAATTATGAAGATGGTCTTGACGTATGAAAGAAAAAAGTTCAGTATGGAGCATGATCTTATATTGCAGTTTTTTTCTACAGGCTCAAACAGATATTTGGGTTTAGTTTGAAGAACAGATCTGAAATAAATCGGGGAAAAAGAGCTCCTCATTAAATGCTACTTAATTAATAAATTTATTAATATAGGTATGCCTAAGTTTGAAATGGCTGCTTGAATTTACATATGCTGTCTTAATACAAATAGCTATGCAACAAAGCCATCCCAAATTGGGATAAAATGTCTAAACATCTGAAGGATTCATACTTATGGAAAGGTGGCTGAGTGGCCTAAAGCACACGCTTGGAAGGCGTGCACATATGGAAATATGTCGAGGGTTCGAATCCCTCCCTTTCCGCCATACAGCGTGTTTGCACCCATCTCTACTTGAAAATTAGCATAAACCAAAATTTCAATACTACTCATAGCTAAATATATAAAGTTTTCTGTAGATGTTGTAAGCAAATCATACTCCTTTGATAGTCTTCTATTCCTATTAATCCAAGCAAAAGTTCTTTCCACAACCCATCCCCTTGGCTGTATTTTGAATCCTTGCTCCTATAATTCTTACAAATTTCTTTACATTTTTTTCAAACTTCAGATTTAAAACTAATAAAATACACCGCTGCTTCAAATGCTCCTTCACGTCTTGATTTCGTTTCACTGCATTTATATATATGCCTAATTCATATACTTAATTTGACGCGTATGGTTTATTTAACACTTCCTTCT